GAGAGAGAGAGAGAGAGAGAGAGAGAGAGAGAGAGAGAGAGAGAGAGAGAGAGAGAGCTGGCAGGGAGAAGGCAGCCATAGCTGCGCCAGTGCAGAGTGTTAGTAGTTAGTAGTTGACTTCAGAGGGTTAGTAGGCATATCAGTGAGTGTATTCAGAGTTGGTCCTTGAGTAGTAGAGAGAGTGTGATTGCATGCAGATAGGGAGGTACAGGGAGGTAGAAGATAGAGAGAAGACCAAGAGAGGAAGAACAGAGAAGAGCTTCGGGGAAGATACATACCTGAGTGGAGATTCTGGATACTTGGGGTTGCGCTGTTGAGCGCCTCTGACCGAAACTCTTAATTGTTTATAACTTTATATGTTAATTTCTTGGAATTCTAAAGCTGCTCTACCTGGTCTTCATCTCTCTGGCCTCCTGTGTGAACTTCGTGTGATCTCATACATGCATGTGGTGTGAATGTGTGCGCTCACTGGTGTTGAACTAAGAGGATGCAGATTTTTCTCATGCTATCAAAAAAGGGAAATAAAGAAAAAAACGAATCAATCTTCCGCTGTGTCTGTGTGTGTATATGTGTGTGTGTGTGTGTGTGTGTGTGTGTGTGTGTGTGTGTGTGTGTGTGTGTGTGTGTGTGCATGAACCTCCCCCGGCCGTACAATCTGCAGAATCAAATATCTCATAGTGCTACAGCAAGGCCACTCCTCGAACTATACCAAACACCACAAGATCTCCACGTGACACCAGGAGCGGCATTGCTTAAAACATCCTAGAAGCCCCCACTTCAATGTGCCCCAAAAGAGCAGCCCGTGGGAATGACACCCACAGCAAACACTCTCTGAGCCCATATCGTGGCCAAAACTCCAAACATACATTCCTACCCCAAGAAAAACTTGTGGCCACCCACAAACATTCCTTGATAAAAAAAGACAGCCCATTCTCTAACGCAGGGCAAAGAATTAGGCCATGTGTAAATAAACAAACAACCAACGAAACATGTCCATCCACAAAAGGAGAATGGCTCGCTAGTATGAGCCCGATCCTAGCCACTCAATTCTGCCAGGACAGAGAGCTAGCAAGACCGGACAACATATATATATTATTGTCAAACAGAACTGCCCGGCAAACTGTCGGCAGAGAGGACAACAAACGAGGGTCTGTGACAAACTGTTTAATTGGAGCTTCACTGACTCGTCAGGAGGCCGAACCCTCAACAGTCTGCAGAATCCCCTAACTGATTACACTGTAACTGATAATCCACCCTAACCCCAGTTGTGGTTAAGCATCAACGACTGCCATATATATCGTCAAATAGAACTGCCCGGTAAACCGTAGGCAGAGAGGGAGAAGAGGACAACAAATGAGGGGCTGTAACAAACTGTTTCGTCGGAGTTTCTATATAGTCACATAACTATGTTGTTATGGACTAAAAGAACGCACTTTCAAAACAAACGGCAAAAATTAAAAATTAAAAAAATAAGACAAACATGAAGGGCACAGTGAAACCATTCATTTTTCTCATTCTTCTTTTGACTCCCCTTTCACCGTGCCTCTCACGTACAAGGCTCGCCACGTTGATGAAGTTGAGCGCAAGCTGCCCCCATCCCCGTGTGCCATAACAGCCCACTTGTACGCTGTGAGAAAGAGGCAGAGTGAAGTGGGAGGGGATAAACACAGGGAGGAGAGATGGAGAGCAAACAAACAAAGAACGGTAAAGGGAAAGTAAGGGAAAGTATGGAGTGTGGAGTGAAGATGAAGGCAAAAGAGGATAAGAAAAGGCTCAAGAATGAGTCTGTCCTTGACTACAAAGAGGACATACATTGTAAGGATGAGGTGGATGAACACATGGAAGACCTAGCTGAGCATTCTCAGTGCA